ATAATAATAAAAATGGCATGGCTTATCTTCGGTATTAATCCTCAAAAGCATGAGGGATATAGGGACCTAGATACATCAAAATAATAATTTCATTTAATAATGTCTAGTAAGACAAATCCAATATTGTGTGCTAAACACTGCCATGTCTAAACTGTGTCACCCCACCTTACATTTTCCTATCGTCATTTAGTGTATAAGATCAATATTTTTATGTACATACTGTCAGTCTATTAACATCTGTAATATACATCGTCTCAATCAACAACATTGTATTATTACCCCGCAAAAAGAGATCATAATAATAATGTCTCAGGACTTGTCTAGAAATATTATTATTATTATTTACTATACACCCATGCAAAGCAGGCGTTAGTCTCTAGTATGTTGTAGCTTCTAATACATAGGTACACAGAGTAGTTATAAACGAACGAGGTTTGCCGCTCCATCGACTTTTTCGCTTCATTATCTATTCACGTTTTGCTGGCTAACCTACATTACCTATCTTGTTTTTTATATTCATGATGGCATGACCAGGGGACATTAACTTGTTTTTGTCCATTTATTATACTAATATATGTATTCTAGTAATATTTATTTATTTATACTATTTATTACACATGATTCCAGGAAACAAAATTAACAGAGTAATAGGGTGCAAAAGGCACCTTTTTCGCTTGTATTTTGTCAGACAAAACTTTGAGTAGAGAAGAAAAGACAGAAGGAAGGTTCTAGAATAGAATAGTAAAAAAATATAATAATAATAATAATAATCATCCCAATCGTTATGTCGGTGAACGGTCTTATTCCAACCAGTCTGGAACAACATCTCAGACGGTTGGGATACGCCGGTTTCTCTCCCTGGGGCCCTGAACCCCGGCCGCCTGTGCTTTTGCCGGGAGTAAGTTGCCATCTCCTCTCCTTAAGAGGGGAGATGAGAATTTTTGTAAAAAAAAGAATAATAATAAAGTAAAACTGATCACGTGTAGAATAGTCCACAAATTTTTGTCTTCCGCTTAAAAATTCTTCATTCTCATCATTCATTATATATACTGTCATTGTTTGGTGATTTTTACCCGCAATGATAAGCCTATTACCCCATCAAAGGGAGATATATAATATAAATATAAAGAAATAATAATAATGGAAATAACATTACAAATTTATAATAATAAAAATCATAAATTACATATACAAACATAATATACAAATATAATATACAAACATAAAACATCTATTAGTGTATAGTTATTATTCATCGTCCGGTGAAGCTGTTAAGGCTGAACTACTCTAAAGCTGTTCGCCGCGAACAGCATTAGAGTAGTCCGAAAAAATCTATAAGCATTTTTATCTATGTACATATATATAACTGAAAGGTGACTAACGTGGTGATCTATCAACGCACAGCCTAAACAACTGGACGGATTGGGCTGAAATTTGGCATGCAGTAAGATGTTATGACGTAGGCATCCCCTAAGAAATGATTTTGATTAATTCTAACCCCAAAGAGATAAAGTAGGATATGAAAATTTATATTAAAATTTGTCAATTTTAAACCGATTGGGCTGAGACTTTGCATGCATAAAGCTACTATGACGTGGGATGCCTACGTCATAGTAGCTTTATGCATTTAAGAAAGGCATTCCCTAAGAAAGGATTTTGATAAATTCCACCCCTAAGAGGATAAATTAACGCGAGCGTAGCCGCGGGCAAAAGCTAGTTATTTTATATTGTGGTAATTGCGATCCCATTACACATTTGTCTTGAATTAAAATGTTTTATTTCTCCTTACTTTGAAGTGTATTTTTGGAACAAAGGCGAGAAAAAATATTTTTTGAAAATATCATAAAATCTTATTTTTTTTACACATCAGGCAATGAACGTTCCTGTTCATCTGATGGTAAACGATTACCGTAACGAGTGTCACGTGCGATTTACCGACGCTTGAGAAACCTTAGTATACCCTTCTTGAAAACCCCATGCAGTAGTCTCTAGGGAAATCCTCGGCAGGTAGTTCGTTCCACAATCAGAGTGTGCATGGAGGGAGACTCCTCTTACCTATATAACTTACTTTACTTAATATATTATATGACTGATCGAATTTTACACATGAAACAAAAAATCTTGTCGACTTTAATCACAGAAAGGGTAGTCAGTAGCAGTAATAATAATGGTGATTTTTACCCACAATGACAAGTCTATCACCCCATCAAAGGGAGATATTATATATATATATATATATATATATATATATATATATATTGTCTGTGCTCACGGTTTCACCCGCATTAAATTTAACTGTACAAATTTCTGTAAATAATATAGCATATATGTTATTCTTAAGCATAAGCTATATTACTGTATAGTTTCATCAAAATCCATTTAGTAGTTTTTTCATGTATAAGTAACAAAGATCCATACTTACAAACTTTCGCATTCATAATATTATTAAGATAATAATATATTACATCTAAAGTACTACAATTATAAATATTACTATTTCTGATTAATAAAAGTAGCTTTTATTCAGAAATGTATATATTGTTTTAATTCAGGTTCCGATAATAGACCTGAATGAAGTTTATTTTAATATATTTACTATAGCAATATTTGATTTTTAGTCTTTTTTGGCGCCTTCCATTAACGAATGTTATTATTTATTTAAATATTCTCTCTTTTATTATTTCTCTCTCCCTTTCTATATAGTACAATCATAGTAAATTATAGAAATCTTTCTAATTTATAATTAACTAACTTACGTAGAAAAAAACTATTAATAACGTAATAGAAATCAAAATAATGATTCAGTATTAGTTTTGTCTGTTTGTGCGTTTGTTCTCCTTAATGTCAGACACAGCTTAACTGATTTCAGTGTCAGCTTTCACTAATGGATGTATGCTTTACTTAAAAATTTGTGTTTGTTTTACCAATAAAATAATAATACCACAAGCTAATCAAAGCTTTTGTTTTGTACTAGATAACATATATACATACATAGTATAAAACAAAGTCGCTGTCGCTGTCTGTCCGTCCCTATATGCTTAAATCTTTAAAACTACGCTTCGGATTTTAAAGCGGTTTTTTTTAATAAATAGAGTGATTCAAGAGGAAGGTATATATATAATACATGTACACCCGTGCGAAGCCAGGGCGAATAGCTAGTAACTGATAAATACTTAGACACATTTTAAAAAAGTAAGAAATGTTAATACAGGAATCGAACCCGCGACTATCAGAAGTAAAACGACATGCCGCTACACCACTGAGGCTATCAATATTGTTAACTATTGTTATTCCGAATACACGGTTACGTAATCGTATTACGCGTACTAAGATAAAGTTTTTATTTTGTTTTATTCAGTTTATTTATAAAAAAAACTTTCATAACTCTAACCTTTCAAGTATGTCCCAGTTGGTATAAAATTAGTTCCCATTTCCCAGTTCCTGATAACATTATCTGTACGCCGTAGGAGGTGAGTGCTACAGAAGTGCTACGGCGCTACGAATATGCTACGTAATTGTAGATATTTACTTCAATTTCAAACTTAGTTTTGATATTCTCGTGTTTCGATATATGTGATCGGTTTATTTTATTACCTCAGAGACTGTAAATAAATTACTCTGGATATCGTATAGAATCCTCTAAGCAAATTGTAAAAGGATTTTCTTTTAAATATAATAATAATAATAATCTCAGGACAATTCACACAGCGCCATCCAAACCCAAGTTAAGCTAGCTAAAGCTTGTGTTATGGGTACTAGATAACTGATACATATACATAGATTTTTTTTGTAAATATATACATATTATACATAGAAAACACCCAGACCGATACAAACAATCATACTCATGAATACAAATGTTTGTGCCGTGCGAGAAACGCAACGGAAATTTGCCTATACGACCATCGGTTGTAAAGCGGTGTGCTAGACCGCTATACCACCGAGGTCGTCATCATTATAGATTTAACGCAACGGAAATTTGCCTATACATACCCATTTAGTATGTATGTTATTTTTATGTGTATGTATAAAATAAATATATAATAAATAAAATATAGGACACACTTTTGTAAAGTCGTACATAATTAATAATTTTTATGGATACATTGTGTGAACATTGAATCTACCTTGACAAAATAATAATTTATTGGTAAATAATGTAAAATATATTAGGACACACTTTTGTAGAATTTATAACAATGTGACATGACATATTGTGACATGGTACTAAAATGGCCATGATCATATGTTAAAAGAAACAAAGATTTACGTAATGTACCAATTGGTAAGCGCAATTCGAGCCCTCACTAAAATCATTCGAAAGCAAAATAAGACAGCGAAAACTTTCCTTTTTCCAACGACCGATGATTCGTAAAACAAATGATAAAGCTGTAGTCTTACTAGTGGCGATAAGCGAAAGCCTAATATCCGGTTTATTTTACTATTTAAAAATAAATGTTCATTTGCGTGAATAGTGGTATGATGTGAATTTAAAACAATAATGCATATTTTGCCTTTTTCGATAGTATCCAAAATTTAAGTTACACTTATATTGGGTTTCATATTAAAAGAATTCAAAAACGCCAAGCAGAAAAGAAATATAATAAACTAAATAGGACAGTGTAAATTTTCGTTTTCCGTCGACTAATGATTCGCAAATAATCGCAAGTAGTCTTACTAAGCGCGATAAGCGTATCAAAAAATACGCTTCGTATTGTTTTATACCACAATGACGGCAATCAAGTATACGGCACACTTGATGGTAAATGGTTACCGTAGCCTATGCAGGGGTTATTAAATAAGGCGTTATGCTTACCTATAGTATGTAATATTATGTTATCTGTGCCTATAGACTAACGTCGACATAGGTGATAGTTAACACATAATATCAAATAAGCGGTCAGCTTATCCCATCCCAATTACATAAAAAAGACCGTAAGATATAATTTATTAATCGTGTTTGCGCCACAATTAGTTTAAATGCACATCTCGTGTAATAGACAAGGACAGACATACTTCACGATCTAGGGCCGAAAGAAGCCGAGTACCGCACCGCTGCTGGGAAAAAAGATGGCGATCTCTGTACGTTCCCGCTCGTATCTGAGAAACGCTTGCACATAATTGCATTGATATAATTGGATCTCTAAGATTTTAATATAAACTATCAAATTATCAAAGTACATACACATATACATAGTACATATGTACTATGTATACACAAGATAAACAGGTATACAGGTAAATACACTAATTGTGCCGCGCGTGTTGTGTGGTGATCAGTTCATCGGTTACAGCAACATAGCAGAATCCAGGTACGCTCGTAACTCTTTATTTTGCCCGAGTCGTGATCTGTGATGACAGGCTGATGATAGTCGAAGGAAAATATCATTTAAATCCCTCGGGACCCGCTTTAACAAATCGCTAGAAGACAGACAAGAGCCGATCGTGGAACAAGAGACGAGGCATTAAATCGATTGCTGGCTCAAATCGACGATTTCCTCCTTACGCCGCAGTAATGTCTTTATCGGATGAAAATTTATGACAAAACGACGAATGGTAACGTGGTAAAGGGCGTTTTTTTATATATTTATCCACCACTACGCCACTTAATACGAACTTGCAAAGCGAGTACATAAGAAATTCGAGTTTATGTCGCAATTTTCGCGTTGTTTAAAAATCGTTTTTTTTATCAGTTGCTACTTTTTAGGGTTCTCATTCAAAATGGTGAAACTACAATAAGAATCTTCCGTATTTTCATCTGTACTAGTATTATAAAAAGATATATTTGTTTATATGTTTGTGTTGGAAGTATAATGCTGGCCATCGTAGAATTAGTTGTTTGTACATTTTTATAGAATATGTCACTTTGAATATCTCAGGAATTTTTGTAATGTCAACATGTAAACTTTATCATTTTAATTGTGTCCATCACAAGGAGCAAACACATAGTTGTGAGGTACCATTTTATTAGAGATATGATAGACAGGTTCAATGTACAGATTCTATACATACCTACAGATGTAATGGTGGCTGATGTTATGACTAAAGCTCTGGGCTGTGTCAAACACGAGGTATTTATTGAACAACTTGGTGTGGTGTAAATGTTAGATGCCCACATTATGGGGGAGTATTGGAAGTGTAATGCTGGCCATCGTAGAATTAGTTATTTATATATTTTTATAGAATATCTCACTTTGAATATCTTAGGAATTTTTGTAATATCAACATATAAACTTTATCATTTTAATATTTAACCTACTGCTGCTTTCTCTTATATACAAAAGTTTGTAATAGATAATTTCAAAATATTTGACCGATATTGAAAATTAATATGACTATGACTGAAAGATTCATTATTCCAGATTAATATATGCTACATATTTAACGAACCCGGTTGTCTAGCCGTTTAGCACGCTGCTTTACTTCCAATCATCGGGTTTGATTCCTCGTATGGTACAAAGTTGTTTGTATGGGTCGGCGGCTTTTCTATATACATTATGTATGTACTTATAAAAAAGTCAGTATATCTACGAGTTTAGCCTGGGGTTAAATGAGGCAGTGTGTATTGTCCACAGATATCATTATTAATACATATATATCAAAGTTATGAGCCTCGCGACAAAGCTGGGGCGAATAACTAGTCATGAAACAACATGTCGCAACATGTCTCGGTAAATAATCAAATTTAGAAAAAGATTAAACGAATTTGTCATAAAGATAAATTATTTCATTTACGCGATGTCGTCGCGCGCTTCTATGCGATCTTTATTCATGTAGCAAAATCTAGATTTGTCATGAGATGAAAGCGACATAACGTCTTCAAAAAAATACTAACATAGATTTTGTACAATATCTTCTGCGTGAGTCGAATCTGTGAGAATAGTGAGAATGACATAGGTTAAAAGGAAGATATAGCAGTGAAATTATACGGTAATCTGAAATCTTAGCCCTCAAGAATAGCTAGCTTCTGCAGCGGAACTGGAGTCAACTAACATCCGTGTATTTCGTTTATATCGACGAAGGTTGTCTTTTCTATTAGGTCAGCTGTAGCTGTCCGCTTCTTTGTCAATCCATTAACATTAATCATCTGCTTCTTCCTTATCTCATTCATTTGGGGTCGGCCTAATATCTTTCTATTTCATTCAGTACTATTCGCAGTCATCTCGTTATTCACTCCCTCTCTTGCCATATCATCTTACACACAGTCCATCTCTATTTCGGATTTCCACTGCCCTTATAATTATTTACAGTCATATATGACTTTGTTTAAAACATTTTCTAGATTCCTACGCATTACATGCTCATACCAAGACAGACGATAACTCTTCAATTTCAAAGCTCGCGCTACTTTCATACTTTCTCTGATGTATTCATTCCTTATCTTGTCCATTCTTGTCACACAATACATCCATTTTCATATTCGCAATTCAGTTGCATGCAATCGTCTTTCATCCGTCCTTTTCGGGCCAGCACTCTGATCCATGTTACGACCAAGGTGTGTTGCCAGTGATGACTTACGGCACAGAGACGTGGTCGCTAACTATGGGTCTCATCGATAAGCTCAGAGTCACTCAGAGGGCAATGGCTCTCCATTGCCCTCTGAGTGGCTATGCTCGGAGTTACTCTGCGTGATCGAATCCGAAATGAGGAGATCCGCAGAAGAAACAGAGTGACCGACATAGCCCGAAGACTTGCGACTCTGAAGTGGGAATGGGCAGGGCACATAGGACAGATGGCCGTTGGGGCAGTAAAGTCCTCGAGTGGCGACCACGGACCGGAAGACACAGCGTGGGAAGGCCTCCAGCAAGGTGGACCGACAATCTTATCAAGATCGCTGGAAGGCATTGGATGCGAGCAGCGCAGGACCGATCGTCGTGAAGATATTTGGGGGAGGCCTATGTCCAGTAGTGGACGTCTTCCGGGCTGCGATGATGATGATGACTCTGACCCATACAATAGGCTGGATCATGATGATACGTATGTGGTCGGATCACAGATCTCTCCATATCCGTCCCAACATTCGCATTTCAGTTACATGCAGGCGTTTTCCTTCTAATCTATCTAATCCATTTACGTAAATGACTAACGTAATGGACCCGCTTGAAATTTATAGCCTGTGTATTATTCTGATATACAAACTATATTACTGTAAAGTTACATCAAAATCCGTTCAGTAATTTTTGCGTGAAAGAGTAACAAACAACTATCCATCTGACCATCCATACACACATACTTTCGCATTTTTAATATTAGTAAGATAGTAACAAGATACTATATGCATTGCAAAGATGTATTGCACCTGTTAGGGTTCACATCGATATTGTCGAAAAATCTGATATTTTATATTAAAAGAAGGTAGTTTCATTATTACTCGGTATCGTTAAACTAGTTGCATATAACCCCCACTCATATCTTCTCTGTATAAAAGGGAGGGTTTTTGTAGGCCGCGGCATTCGGTCTTTGTGCACAGGATGTGCTGGTTGTATTTTAATTGCTAAAGTAAATTGTGTTAGAGACATAGTTAAATTAATGTTATATAGTTGTTATTTTATTATAATACATACTTTTACTAGTACATAGAGTTGATATATCTTACACACCTTACAGGATTGAGAGACCAGATAATGTTATTAATAGGAATTATGTAGTGGCCTGGATAATGTCGCAGTTAATTGTTGGTGAGTTTGCCGTAGGCTAACTGACCTGATTTTGAGTCTTCCTATCATCCTACCCTGATGCCCGCTAGTGACTACATCGTAAGATGCCTGCGCTAATGTTTCACCATTATATACTCGTATATATTTGATGCCCTCGGTGATCTAACAGTTTAGCTCACGCGTGCCGCGTGTTTGTGTTCATGAGTTTGATTGTTTGTATCGTTCTAGGTGTTTTCTATGTAAAATATTTACGAAAAAAAATGTATTTGTATTAGTTTAGTACCCATAACACAAGCTTTGGCTAGTTTAACTTGAGTTTGAGGGCGCTTTGTAAATTGCCTTGAGATAAAAAAATGTATTCATTAAAAACACTTAATCTAGTGTTTTTTCTCACAAATTTATATAGACTGATGTATATAACTTATCTTGTTATCAAGACTGCTACGAGTAGATTTTCTTTCAAGCGTAAAATGCGGGATTATTAGTTCAACTTGTAACTTTTACATTATACACACCAGTGTTTGACGACCTCGGTGGTCTAGCGGTCTAGCACACCGGTTTACGTCCGATGGTCGCGGGTTCGATTCCTCGCACGGCACAAACATTTGTATTCATGAATATGATTGTTTGTATCGGTCTGGGTGTTTTCTATGTATAATATGTATGTATTTACGAAAAAAAAATCTATGTACTTGTATCAGTTATCCAGTACCCGTAATACAAGCTTTAGCTAGCTTAACTTGGGTCTAGATGGCGCTGTGTGAATTGTCCTGAGATTATTATTATATGTAATTTATATAATATATTACTTTTTCTTTCCACCGTGACTCTCCATTTTCACACTTTTGCTGCATTAAATTTAAACATATTTTTGATTGCTTCTGCTAGTTTTTACATTCTCTCTGTTAGCTTCTATAGAAATGTATGTAAATACATAGCATATATCAATAAGTACATAATAATTTGACTATCTATATATATATAATTCAAAGCTGACTGATATAGTGATCTATCAACGCACAGCCCAAACCACTGGACGGATCGGGCTGAAATTTGGCATGCAGGTAGATTTTATGACGTAGGCATCCCATAAGAAAGGATTTTGATAAATTCCACCCTTAAGGAGATAAATTAACGCGAGCGAAGCCGCGAGCAAAAGCTATTTATATACATATTTATATATGCTTCTGGAACATATATTTCAGGAAATACTGTTTTTCGCAGTTATTACATTTTGCATCGCCTACAAGTTTGTTTTCTCTGCATTTCTCTGTCTTTCTTTGACTGGTAGAAAATGCCGAGAGGTTAAATTAGTTTAGTCTACCATATTATTATATACTTTTACCATACACACAATCTGATTAATACAGGTAATTCCTTGCTCTCTATTTTCACCCTTTTGCAGAGTCGAAGTAAATTTGTTTTTGCTTTTGCTGCGCTTTTTCTGTCTGCTAATATATATATATCTAAATATATAT